GTGCTGGAAGTTACGGTTTACTTTTTTTTTTTTTGGACGAAAGTTACGGTTTGGGCTTGTTTATAAGTTTGGGCTGGGTTTGTTTTGGGTGTCTTTTGAGTTTGTTTGGTGTTGGGCTTGATAGTGGCAGACCTGTAATTTATAGGAACTTGAACACTAATTTGTTATATAATAAATGGATTTTGGGTGTGTTTATAAAGTGTATTCTATGTGGGGTTTTTTTTATAAATTCAGGTCCCATTTTGGGTATATTAGTGAAGCTCCCTTTATTTATTCCTATTGTAATTGAAATATATTTCCTATTGTAATTTAGAGATATTTCCAATTGTATTTAAGGTTGTACTTCTCTATAAATAGTTCCAAATTGGAAAAGAATAAATATATGAGCGTAACTGAATATTTGCTCTACTTTGTTTGACTTAGAGAAGAGAATTGGATTGATGGAAGCAATGGTAGGGGACAAGGTTCCTGAAGATATCGTATATGAAATCTTGCTAAGGTTACCTGTCAGATCTCTAATTCGTTTCACGGCAGTGTGTAAGTCATGGAATTGTATGATCAAAAGCTCTACTTTCATCACCCATCATCTCATTCAAAACGAAGACGTTCAACTTCTCCTTCACAACCCTCAATATGGGATGTACTTATTGTACAAGGATGACGACAACGACGATGGCCGTTCATCATCTACGCTTAGAGAGTATACCAATCTTGAGAATCCGTACGATCTTTACGACAGAGGGTTGGCATCCAAGTTTGTCGGAACTTGTAAGGGTCTCGTGTGCCTTGCTGCGGAAGACATTGACTCTACCGCATTAGTTTGGAACCCTAGCATCGTGTGCCTTTTCGAGGAAACAAATTTATCTCATGTCAATATGAGATCTGGTCGTTAGCCAAGGGCTCTTGGAAGACTCTCAATACTACTGCTGATCTTGAAGAAAGTGACATTATGCTTCGGCCCCGGCACTTTTTTGTTAGTAATCTGCCTGCTTTTGTCAATGGGGCTCTACATTGGACTCAAGCCAGAGCGCACACCGGGAACATTTCACTTCTGTCATTTGATATGTCCGATGAAGTATTCGGCAAGATAGCAGTACCACCAGAAGCTTCAGCACAAACAATTGACCATCTTGCTCAAGGACATTTCATGGTTTCAAGGTACAGAGAGTCCCTTGCATATTTTGAAACCTCTCGGGAGCGGAAAGGAAGTGTTGGTTGGGGTTGCCTTCTTCACATTCACATGCGGGTGATGGAAGAGTATGGTGTGGCCAAATCATGGGCTAAACTATTTGCGATATGCCTGGATCTGGATCTAGGCGTTTCTAGACTGACTGGTTGTAGAAAAAGTGATGAAGTTGTTCTCAGAGTGATGGATGACGACGGTGAATATCGGTCTGTGAACCCTAAGACCAAGCAAGTTAAGAGACTTCGAATTGAAGGACAATAGATTTATGAGGACATGGATGCTTTAACAGAGAGCGTTGTCTTGCTTGACCAGCCTAATGTATTTACATACTAAAAGCAACAACGTACGTGTTCTGTTGAATAATTTGATTTGAGTTACGACTTGTTTTTCACTTACATGTGTTCTGTTTTCAAAATTTAAGGTTTCTGTTTCTTTTTTATTTTTATTTTTGTTGAAAGAGATCAATAACAAATCCTCAATTTCGTTGATGATCCAGTTGTAGTATTCCATGGAAAATTAATGATTTGATTTCCCAACTGATGTACATATGAACAATACTTTTGTTGAAACAAAACAAACTAGAGTACAAATGGAATTGAGAAACATTTGCGATTTGAACGCGGTCTGCATATTTCATCAATTAAAACTGCCTAAGAAACATCAAATTCAAATCAAACAGATGATGGAGGAACTGTCCTTGAAACCATAAATCAGGTTTGATCATGATCTTGGCTTAGTTTGAGTAGCTCTTGGCACCACTTTAGAAGATTGTAGTTGTTGAGGAAAGCAAACTACTCATAACACAATTTCAACAATATTTTTTTTTATCAATTTTTTATTACTATTATTATCAATATTTGAAAAGAATAAGGGCTTTTGTTAATAACGTTTCGACACATTCAAGATAATAATATCTCTTAATTGTTCGAAACATTGAAGATAATAATATCTATTAATTATGATCCCTTATGATAAGCATCATAAAAGAAACGCATCCTTTAATTAAAATTATGAAGAAACCATAACTTGGAATGAAAACCAATTTTCCTATGTATCATTTTGAGGAAATAAGTCAAATCATAGTTCATTGGAGTCATGCATGATTGTCGGTGATGAAAATTTGAATGGAGTTGGTGTCTTTGGGGATAATTTGGATATGAAAAAGTTTTTGGGGGCGAATTTAGTTAAGATAAATTAGGGATTCTTTTTGGGCTTGTGGTTGCATCTAAAGATACTTTTAGTTTGCCTATGTAACCTTGACGGTATTGAAACCAATGTAGTTCAATCCAAGAAATTCTTTGGGTGGTTGTGTACAACTTGGTTTTTGATTTGGTAATTAATTTGGCTTTGGTGAATACGTGAATTTGGACTTTTGTGATGGCACAAGTCCGTCAAGTTTGGAAACCGATCATGGGTGAATTTGATTTGTACCCACTTAATGGGTATTTTCCTTGTGATCTTGGTCCCCTTCACGATTGGTTTTGAGCCCATTAATTCAGAATTTTGTGAATTTAAAAATCTTGGAGCTGTTTTGGAAGTCAGTTTATAAAAAGTTGCTGGTCATTCGCCTGCTATTGTCAATGGTGCTCTGTATTGGCTTCAAGCCAACGTGGATGAGGAGTTGCACGGCATGGCAAGGCGGACGAGGCGCCGTTGTGTAGTCTCCAAGTGGCTCCACGTGGAAGAAGAGTTTTCACGTTCAGCATTTTAAAAAACTGAGGTTACTTAATGAAATGCACGTTTAACATCTTTTACTTACCTTTTTTCTAACGAAATTAATATATTAACACATGGACCTATATTAACAAAACCTCCATTAAAACAAGCTAGTTTCCTTTTTCTTTATTTCTAAATTAATATATTAACACATGGACCTATATATGTTTAGGAAATAGAAAATGTTGGAATCTATATTGAACAAGCTCTTTTTAAAATGCTGAACGTGAAAACTCTTCTTCTTCCATGTGCAGCCGCTTGGGGACTACACAGCCGCGCCTCGTCCGCCTCGAGAACACGTACGTTGTTGCTTTTAGTATGTAAATACATTAGGCTGGTCAAGCAAGACAACGCTCTCTGTTAAAGCATCCATGACCTCATAGCACCATTGTCTTTCAATTCGAAGTTTCTTAACTTGCCTGGTCTTAGGGTTCACAGGCTGATATTCACCGTCATCATCTATTATTCTGAGCACATCTTCACCACTTTTTCTACAACCAATCAGTCTAGAAACGCCTAGATCCAGATCCAGGCATATTGCAAATAGTTTAGCCCATGATTTGGCCACACCATACTCTTCCATCACCCACATATGAATCTGAAGAAGGCAACCCCAACCAACACTTCATTTCCGCTCTCGAGAGGTTTCATAATATGCAAGGGACTCTCTGTACCTAGAAACCATGAAATGTCCTTGAGCAAGATGGTCAAGTGTTTGTGCTGAAGCTTCTGGTGGTATTGCTATCTTGCCAAATACTTCATCGGACATATCAAATGACATAAGTGAAATGTTCCCGGTGTGCGCTCTGGCTTCAATCCAATGCAGAGCACCATTGACAAAAGCAGGCGGATTACTAGCAAAAAAAGTGCCGGGCCAGAGTATAATGTCACTTTCCTCAGGATCAGCAGCAGTATTGAGAGTCTTCCAAGAGCCCTTGGCTAACGACCAAATCTCATATAGACATGAGATTAATTTGATTCCTCGAAATGATGACAAGAAGAAAACAATAACAGTAAGAAACCATCAAACTGAGATTCATCAGACTCCACATTCTTTTATGGCTACCTCAAAGTACGGCTGAAAATCCGATCCTAGATAGCTGGGATTCAAGAAATCTCCATGCATTAAAAAATCTAAAAGTAGAATAACATTGAGAGAGATTAGTTAAACGTCACCAATTGATTTCCCAACAAAAGTATCTACATCAAGCTGTCCTCAGAGGAGGTGAAATATGCTGCATATTTCAATGTTCTTATAAGCAAGCTAATGGGTTTATTTGAACGTGATTTACTGAGTTCACTCTGCTATATCTGTTACATGATTCTCTGCAAGTTTCTAAGGTGTTGGCACATGGGTTTGTGTTGGTACTCTATTTTCTTGTCTTTTTTCCACACCTTTGTTTTCTCTGTATCGGAATTTGTACCGACTTATCCATGTTTCTCTCCCTTTTGCTGGTGACAGAAACGAGGAGCTTTTCTTTTATATTGTGAAAGGCGGTGGGTTTTGGGCTAAGATTAGATTCGAAATGGTAGGAAAAGAAAACTTCAAAACTGAAGACTTAAACTTGTGCTTTGAGAAACTCATGATGTTTGGTGGTGGTAGTGCCGGTGCTAATTCTCTTGGTGGTGGAAAGGTGAAAATGGAAGGAAGGGCTATTACTGATTGGAAGGATATTCCCATGGAGCTCCTGTTGCAAATCCTTGGACTTGTCGATGATCAGAAGGTGATCATGGCTTCTGGAGTCTGTCGTGGCTGGAGAGATGCTGTTTGCTTGGGCCTTACCCGTCTCTCCCTCTCATGGTATATGCTTTGGATAATCTTAAATGTCTTGTTGTAAAACTTTTGGATAATCTTAGATTTGAAACTCTTCGAAAGTCTCTAGGTGTGTGTTCTCTTGACTAATTGGTTTGTGCTGTTCATTTTTTTTTTTCTTTTTCTTTTTGTCTATTGGAAGTAATCATATGTTTAGCTAACCAGTGTAGGGAGTTTGCTGGTGTATCACTACTACATTTGAGCCTCTCACATTTGATGAACTAAGATTGGGCTTTAGTACTGTGTCCACTTGAATTCCTCCTCTTAGTGTCATTTGGTTATTCACTGCCATTCTTTGTGCTAAAACTGGTTCACTAATCTTTATTGCAAATCTCTTGCTTACTCACCTTGGCATTTGCACCTTAATTTTTCTCCAAGCATTCTGCACATCCTCTCCTCGTATCCATTTGATTTGTGATCACCTTCACCCTATTGCAAGCATGCTCTTTGATCATTCCCAGAATAACTACATCAAATAAAAATGTTGGAACTTGATCCATGCTGAGTAACCGGGCCTCTTGTCTAACCAACGTCGAGGCTCACATCAAAAGGCCTTGATCATTTGCCTCCTTGATTTCCTTTGAAGCCTTCATGCTCCGGATAAGTATTTCCTTGGGGTGCTTGCTCACCTAGTGCCCTACAGTCAACTGACTTGGGATCACTGATTGAACATCTGCTACTTGGGTCATGTAGAAAGCTTAATAAAGGACATCCCACGTTTAAAAAATATAAAAATAAAAATAAAAAATAAAAAAGGGATCAGTGTAATTATGCTCTGCAATTGTGGTGTAGGTTGGTTCATGAGTTCCATTGATATTTGGTGATGATGTTCTTTATGTTTTGTTGAAGGTTAGTCACATTTCACGAGCTTGAGATTTGTCATTAGATTTCATCTGTCAGTTTTATCATGTTCAATGTCACTGTATTGCCTCATGATGTCTAGGAGTGGTCAGTTCCTGTGTTCACATGCTTATTTCCCTAAAATGCTTTGCTTCGAATATTTAGACTTGGATGTGTTTTTGGTTTCCTCTAGTTTATTCCCTTCCCAGGTTGCGAATCAGTGCAAACTCTATAGACTACATGGTTGTTTTTATCTCTATTTCATTGGTTTCTTTTCTTCGTGTTCTTGTTTGGGTTGCACTCTTTCTGTTTTGGGTTTCTTTCACCTATTTCTTCAGTCTTTTGATTTTCATTGGTTTTGATTCATCAATTCTTCTAGCTCTGGATTTCCCATGGAGTGTATAGTCTCGCTCACAAAGATGCTCTGTTTTGGTGTGTTTGTTTTTTTAAAATTTCTGGACGACAATAGTTTCGTGCTTTGATATGCAATGCAATTGCTTCTATGCATTTGACTAGTTTAGTACCTTGTTGCTTTTTCGTGGACACTAGATGGCTGGTACAGGTTTTGAGTTCTTTCCATTTTTAATAATCATTTTATTTATTCTTTACAATATATATTTTAAATTATAAAAAAAACAAAACAAAACAAAACAAAACAAAACATTCAGTCTTTTGATTTTCATTGGTTTTGATTCATCAATTCTTCTAGCTCTGGATTTCCCATGGAGTGTATAGTCTCGCTCACAAAGATGCTCTGTTTTGGTGTGTTTGTTTTTTTAAAATTTCTGGACGACAATAGTTTCGTGCTTTGATATGCAATGCAATTGCTTCTATGCATTTGACTAGTTTAGTACCTTGTTGCTTTTTCGTGGACACTAGATGGCTGGTACAG